CAATAGCCTTTTTACAGGGTGGTTTTCAAAATATACATTGGTCCATAATAAAGAGAAAACAAAATGTATCGACTCCTATGAGTCATCATCAGGCTGAGGATACACAATACATACCCTCGCGTTAGTTTTTTTGAGGTAGGAACCCGAGTAGGAACCTCATGACATCTGATAAATTAAGAAGTATCGATTTCTTTTTGGAACACAACAAAAATATTTTGAAGAAATCGTCGAGCGCTACTGAGAACTCCCATCAGAACTGTTATCGAAAATGTTAGTTTTTTTGAGGTCAGCACCTTATGACAGCTGATAAATTGAGAATTATCGATTTTTTTCTAAAACCTCGTCCAAAACACAATAAGATTATTGATCCGATTTTTCTCAGATTTTATATTTAAGAATGATTTTTCTCCTTTTTTCTCGAAAGCTTTTTCTCGAGCTTTTTCTTCGATACGAAAGAGAACGGAATAGTATTTCACCAAGAAATGTCGCCTATAGAAACCTCGATAGAAACACAATATCGTAATTTATTTCTTCGAATTATTCAATAATTTGCTCGATGATTTGCTTAGTTCACCAGAACTATTGATGAAATATAGGTTTAGAACCCCAGAACTCTTAATAGAACAACAACAAAATATATCAGAACTCATTTTCTCGCAAAACAACGGCGATGCGTGAAGTTGCGCTCAAAATTTATTTTTTCCATTCACTTCTACGATTTGCTGGAACTATTCGAAATTTCAGTGAGGAACTCTAGAAAATAAAAAGATGGCCGCGAGTAGTAATAAGACGTGCGATGATATCGCTCCGAATAAATCCTGTAAAAAATGTGAAAGTGTTGCTCTAACGGGCAAAAAGTGCCTGAAATGTGATATGATCATCCACAATAGTTGCGTCAAGCTTCTGAAAATAGTTATTCATTATACAAGGGAAAAAAGTAGTCGATTTTAGCTCCAGGGAGACAAAAAACCGTGAGCTAAAATCTAATATTTTTCCCGTGTATAATACACTATTTTTTCCTGTGACAGAAGAAAGGACGAATCAATATTGAGAAAATATTACATTATATTGAAATCTGAAAATTATCGACGTGAAATTTCAAGTTTTCAACAGTAGGGATACCTGCGTTGTAGGCATCTTCATCATTTTTTTGAAGTAGGTAATCAAATATCTGATGCACTCCTATTAGTCTAATTCTGTGATTTGATTTCGAAGACTGTATTACTTACTCCAAGATTTACTCATTTTTCGGAACTATAGCACAACAAAAGCCATCAACAGTGTATATACAGTGTGTCCCACTTACCATGCTCACCATGGGTATCTTTTTAACGGTGAGAGATACGAGGTCGGTTAAATGACACCAAATGTGGGGTTTGTCAAGGCCAACTATAATGTGAAAAAATATTTTGATAAAATCTATTCGTTTTTGTTTTATAGGCAAAAAACTGATTTTGATCATTTTCATGTCTCCTCCATAACTTCTTTATTTATGAAAATATTCAAAAATAGAAATTTCACATTCTCATTGCAGTTTTTCAAAGTGATTTCGAAAAAAATATGAAATGTATACCAACTCTTCTAGAATTTGAGATATCAGCACCAACTTTAGTTTTTCAAATGTAGGTCATAGCTCACTATGACTTAGTTACAAATAACTTTTTTTTCTCTTACAGATGATATGTAGCAGTAATAGTTTTGTGTTGATAACAACGGATTTATCGTCATTTATACAAAAACAAAAAACTATTTGGAAGCCGCCATCTTGAATTTATAAATTTTAACAAAAAAAATCATGATCTCCGACCTCAAAAACCCCCACTTACCAATTTCGAATAGAATCGGACCACATCTTGTCCGCCATCTTGGAGCAGCCATTTTTTTCAATTGATGGCGGACAAGATTTGGTACGATTCGATAGCATTTTACGAATTGTACGAATTACTGATTAGCAATCTCAAAAAGAAAAGATCGTCAGGTCATGAGAAACTTCCCTCGGAACTTCCCATGTTTCTTCTGAAGAATAGTCTTCATATTTTAATTAAACCTCTTCTTCATTGGTGAATCTGTCATTCAATAAAGGTTCATACCCAAATCAGATGAAAATAGGTGAAATCATACCAGTGTATAAAAGAAAGAGTTCAAACTTAATGGAGAATTATATGCCAGTAACAATTCCATCAAGTATGTTGAAAATATTCGAATACGCTTTTGTTTTTAAACGCGAAAAAAACCGATTCAATGAAGTTCCATCATCCAAAAAGAGAGGTATGGATATGTAGTAGTCCAGGTAGTTAAGTCATAGTCAGTAGTAGTAGATAAAGGGCTTTCAATTGGTGGACAATTCTGGCTAGAAACGAGGTTAGAAATTATAAGGCAAATATCGGTTTGTCAATTATTGTCAAGTATTGATTTGAACGAGGATTTGAATCAATAACTCTGTCAACCGATCCAAAAACAATGCACTGAAATATCCACAAAGTTGAAGTTGCTAGGGGTTAGGGAAATTAACATATCAAGTTGATTTGACTGTAAAAAATGCTGGAAAAAATCATCCTCAAGTTTTCCTTGAAAGACACTGTTTTATCTCCCTGATGGTATCACCTGAGGTTTCAGCCAGTCCTTTTGAAATATAACTTTTTGTGGTTGGTTGTCCACCTCTTCTCTTTGGAGAAGAAACAGAGATGTCATCAGCTGAATCTGCAGCTACAATCTCCTCGACAATCTCCCTCTGGTTCTCCGTTTTGATATTTTGAGCAAAATTTTATAAAATTCAGCTGGACTTATCATTAACCTCGCCTAACCACATTCAGGGCAAGTAAAATTGAGGAATGTTAGTAATTTTCCTCGTAATTTTCCAATAAAATCTACCTCCAAAACTACTGATCAGTATGATCTATTGTATGATCTACTCCAAAACCATGAGAAATACTGGGAGAAATATTTCTATCACATTATATTCAGTCTTTTTCAAAATTTCCGATATCTCCAAATTGGTTTTTATGACGTTTTTCTCCAAGTTTATCTCAATATGTGGAGTACAAAGTTCTCTTTCAAACCTGGAAAGAGAACTGAAAATAAATGAGAATTGAAGAAAATATCACACAAAAGTGAGTACCTACCTGGGTACCTACCTAAGTTAGTACATATAATTTCACTGGTCAAAGCATATTTCCGAGCATATTTCAAGAATATTTTTTATGAACCCAGGTATGAACTTATATGAATATTATTGTTACCATGATAGAGCAAGATCCCATGAAAGCCTGTGAATGCCAGACCTTTATTGCAAAGGTGCTAAAAATATCAACTTAATTTTGTCACACTAAAAAGGGTAAATTTTTCATATTTTATTCAGGATAATATTAAAAACCACATCACCCATTGCCAGACATGTTACCATAGTGGCTACCTCTTGCCAGACACCCTTGAAATTGCCCTTGAACTTTGATTAATTGTAACATAGGCTATATTACTAACTCAACTGGTGAGTACTGTCTGAGGTACTGTCAGTGGGTCCACTGATCTGCTGAAAATCTGTGTTCTGAAATATAAAATCGAAAATACAGTGCTGTGATTTGGAACATGTCTTCATCAGTAGCCAGACAGACATACAGTCAAGATACAGTAGGTACATGCTTTTATAAAGTACCTGGTAAAGTACTGAATAAATTCATTTTCAGTCAAACTATTCATACAGGGAAATTGAATATACAGGGTGATCCACATTGGAATCATCATGTCTGCGTCAATTGTTGCAAATGGAATGCCCTATATGCATCAATTGTTGTGAATGGAATGCCCTATATATCATACAATTTTCCAAGCAATTTTCGGAATCTCCATGGAGAGCTGTTTCAAACATACATCACACATGGGGTTTGTATACATTGTGTCCATTACATCAAGGATTCTGGTAAAGTAGTAGATACATTCATTTTTAGCCAACCTATCCATTTCTGATGAATCTTCTGAAACATGTGGAATTTTATTTTCATTTTTCCACATTTGTGAAGGAGAATTCCTGAAAATTCAATATATAGGGTGATCCACATCTCATTCAAGACGTCCGCTATGATTTTTCAAAATGGATCACCATATTTATACTATTCAATTTTTGGAATCTCCATGGGAAGCTGGATTCAGAAATATAAGAGAAAATCGACAGAAAATATATCACACACAGGATTTGTATACAGTGCTCTGGTAAAATGGAGTTGCCATAAACAAATACTGATGACATAGTTTCACATACACAAATCAATGAATTTGAAAAAAATTCCAGATAAAATTCAATGTCCACCATTCTTTACAAGAGCACCTGATTTAAGGGACGCACTGTATACAAATCCTATGAGTACTACATTTTTGAATTCAGCTTTCCATGGAGATTCCAAAAACAATTGCCAATAAATGTATAATAATAATAATAATGAAATAAATTTATTCAGTACTTTATGAAAGCACTGTATGTCTGTCTGGCTAGGGGTTAGCACCACCAGAACTGCCCTGCTACTGAGGAATCATATTCTAATAGTTACCCAAGTAACATGAAAGTTAAGTTACCATTCATCAAGGTTGAAGGGTGTTTGGCAAGTGGTAGCCACCATGGTAATATGTTTGGCAATAGATGTTTTTAATCCTATTAGGAATAAGACAAGAAATATAAATCAATTACCCTTCATAGTATGATGAAAGTGAGTTGGTATTTTTAGCACCATTGCTCCCTGTAATCTCCCAAACACACCATGACCTGAATTTCATACTCCTCCATCTCTCTTACCTGTATTGGGATCATAGGCTGAGAAATGCTGAGAAACTTTCAGCTTCTATGAAATAACAAAGGTCTGGCGTTCATGGAATCTTGGACTATGATTATGTACAACTAAGAATTATATACAGATTATGAAGTTGCTGAGTTGCTGATAAAAAACACTTCAATCTTCCATAAAGGTCTTTTAGGAACCTGGGAACCTACCTACATAAACTTACTTACTTACCGTTAGACCTGAATATAAGAAATTAGTAGTCTTATCGCTTTTGTTGTCTCACAACGCACAACTGTTAGGAGTTCTTCATTTAATCAGAAAAAGACATTGAGAACACTCCCGATTCTCCCGAACTATGCGTTCGCGAACTGAACAAACGATTATATGATGAAAACTCGGAAACACAATATAAGAGGGAACTAAAAGAAGAGGAACAAAGTTATTTAAATAACGCTAAAATACTTTTTCAAACATCTGGACACAGATATTATTGATTCGTAAACACTACCAACAACAACAAAATAGAAAATAGTAAGGTTAAGGGCAGCCATGTGAACTTGGCGCTGTGTGAAATTGCAGCATTGGCAGCCATTGATACCAGTCAAAATCTCCGAACATTGCCGAAGCCAGTGGCGGACAACATGTTTATTTTTCATGCCTTCAAATACGAAATAATAGTTATTTATGATATATGAGTGCTAAAAGTGACATTTTATTTTGTGAGAAGGAGAGTTTGTTTGTTGAAAAAATATTTCATATATTATATATAAAGAACTGCTGCAATGAGATAGAATGAAAATGAAATTAACATACCCACCCTATATAACAACACAGGGACATCCTAGGTACGTCCTTTTTATGTCCCAACGTGTACTGTCGGTACAAGGACATGATTGGGACATCCCTAGGATGTCCTGCTCAGTATTCCCAGGGGATGTCCCGACTGGGACATCCCTGAGTTGTCCCATTCATGTCCCTGATGTATATCTCGAAATCTATTTGCCATTTGTATCAGGAAAAATCCAGTCTTTATATTTTCTATACCCATCCAATTCAGTACAGTACATTTAGCTCAATTTTGGTACTTTTGAAATTTATTGATTATAAATTTACTGATGAGAGGTGCGCAGTAGTGCGCACTCCGTGTATACAGGCTGATTTTAAAATGAGTGCATATATTTTAAACACTAAGAAAGCTTGAGGTATACTACCGAATAGCACTATTAAAAATATTATTAGGATCAAAATAGATTTGGGGCAAAATACCCTTTTTCCGCCCAGATTTCTACTTCTGTCACAACTATCGTTTGCGATCCGCAGTCGACCGTGATGAACGAAGCGACGTTGCCACTCTACATGAAAATTGGGAGATTAAATAAAATGTATAATCGAGAAAATGTACATGGGGAAGAAGTTAACCTTGGTCTTGAATTTCAGAAAGATAATACAAAAACTTCAAAATGGACTCACCCAAGATTTCTACACATAAGCTCGAATAGCGTATAACTTAACACCTCACGGTTGGAAGTTATTTTACTGAAAAATCCTTTAGACCCTTCCTTACACCTCCTTGCATCGCTACAATTTCGTGGTCTTCGAGGAGTCTCATGGGCCCCGCACAATAACGACCCCAATCAGCACAAGTACGTCTTATGGACGTTTTAAAAACGTCCACTCTGGACATTCAGGACGTTTTGGGGACGTCCATTTCCGGACGACGGACGTCTTATGGACGTTTTGAGGACGTCCATTGTTAATAATCAGGATGTTTTGGGGACGTCCAGTTTAGGTCCAGACTAGGACCTCTTTGGGATGAAAAATGGACGTATTGAGGACATTCAGACAACATTGATTATTGATTTTCTGACCCATCTGAAGAGTGAAATACTTGAATATTAGTTAACATTTATTCGCAAACAATAATATGAACAGAGATTCAGGTAGTTGTTTCAATTTCACTCTTCCATATCGTATATCAGCAGCTGCACCACTAAAAACGTCGCGTGATTCATCCAGGTACGCAGGCGCGATGATGTCTTTTTCTGATTGGCAGCCTTCTGTTGTCTTCTTCACTGGATCAGGATCTGTAAATAATAATAATATTCAATAACATCTTCTGTGAATACCATAAACCATAAACACACACACACTTTCAACGTGTAGTAGTCAATATAGCGGAATACTTCATTATTTTTATTTCATTGAGAACGTATTCCATGCATACATAAACTGATTCTTAGGTAGGTACCTATATAACCTCTATGAACCTTGCACGAATTATATTATGTTTCAGCTACATACAAAAATATAAACTTTGTTAGATGATGGAAATAGGATTAGGTAGAGCTTTGCATGAGATCAAATTATTTAGAAAGGTATCTAATGTTTTCAACTACAGATTTGATGTTCTTACTCAAGCATCTTCATGCGAATGAAAATAAAACGATAGCGTCGATAGCCATACTTGCCTTCAAATAAACATCTCGATGGAACTCGAGATCGAAGTTCACCAGTTGATAGATGATATCCGCAAAGATTTCACTTATTCACTGCTTTTACAGTCTAATAACCCGAAAAGTTCAGAATGTCCTTGGACCTGAATCACAGTTTAATCGGCACTCGGCAGTGGTCAACTGACGGACGCCATCTTCCTACGTTTTCGTTTCACAGTTTCACAGTTTCACACGTAACACGCACAGTGTTGCCGGATGAAAATTTGTCGGAGCAGTAGATGGGTGGGGAAAAAACAGTAGATCATCAAAACTGAACAGAAGATTTTGATAATCATCACAACTGCTATCATAAATGAAAAAACATAGTCACCTATATAATAAACGAAAAAAAAAATCATGTTCGGTCTCTATACCTATCAAAAATCGAACGAAGAATAACAAAAAATAATGAAATAAAAAATAAAATTTGTGAAAACCGCAACCAGATTGGAAATAAAAGCTAATTTTCACTAATCAGACTGAATATGATAGTTGCAGTATATTTTTATCATACATCTTCTTACTGTGATGTCCCATTAATTTTTCATTGTTGCATATTGGGTAGTTACGTCATATCAAAACTTGACCAATCAGACCATTGCCTTGAATAGTTGAACAGTAGAACGGAGACAAAAACAGTAGATCTACTGCTAAAATAGTAAGTCTGGCAACGCTGAGCACGCATGCGTTCTACGGTTGCTTTACATATTCAGGGAATCAATCAAATCTTATTATAAAATTTCGGCTTGTATGAATACTTCAGTGCGGGTTTAATAATGGTCAAACTGTATAGGTATTATGTGATCGAAGGAATATGATTCAACATAACTATATAAGTTGGTACACATCAGTTAAAATCATGAATATTTCAAATTCATATAATATTAATAATAAAATGAAATTCAATATATTGATACAGCTGATATATAATATATTTTTTGACATTATTCATTTCCATATTCAATTCAATAATTCTAATTTCAAAATTTATATATACCTACCTACTTATATCAATTTAAACTGATATACCGTGAGAGTCTGTAAATTGGACGTTTTAAAGACGTCTTTTTCTGGACGTCCGGAGTATGTCCAATAATGGACGTCTTAAAAACGTCCATAAAAGGTCCTGGACGTTCAGACCAAAAATGGACCTAAAATAGACGTCTTCGGGACGTCTCGTGCTATCTGGGACCCGACATAAGAACCATATCATTCAGCTCAATGTTTGAGAAATGCATCATCACATTCCAAGCAAATTGTCAATTGTCAGAAACAAAACTTTACATTCAGTGTTGTCACAGTGTGTTGTTCCTGGGTCTGATTTTTTCGTAATAGATTTTCTTGGAAAATGGTAACAGATTTGTATCAAAAGGTAATAGATCCTAAAAATCTGACATTTGACATTCTGAATGTCATTCTTGTAAAACCATATCGCACAAATTAGACAGTTTTGGCAGGAATGAGGCAGGTCACACAGAACTTATGACATAAATATAGAACATAGACCCATAGAGCAGAACATAATTATCCGCTGAACACAGAAATAGATTTTTTGGTAACAAAACATCATATTTTGGTGCTAACAGTAACAAAACATCATATTTTGGTGCTAACACCCAATAGTAATAGATTCATGACAAATCGTAATATTGTAACAATCTCCGTGGAATAGTAATAGATCTATTACAAAAGTAATGACAAGGACCACACTGTTTACATTTACTAGTATCACGTTTTGACGTTTTCCAAAATAACATACATTCTCAGAACAACAAACTGTCAAGAAAGGATCTTTGTTTTGATTGTTCTTATGGTGTGCTACCAGCAAGAATTCAGATGACCATGTTACTAATAGGCGACTTTTACGGACCAATCAGAAACAGCAAAGGTCTGGTAACTTATCTCTGCCTGCGTGGTTGCGTTTCATCCTGATTGGGCACAGGTGATTGAGATTAATGTATTAGTGAGGAAGGATCATATCTTTAAATGAAACTACCATTTTCATAAAAAACTAATTTGGAAAAAACATCTATTAGTTTAATTCAATGAAATGATACTTCCTCACTATACACTAATCTCACAAATCCAATCAGCTGTGTCCAATCAGGATGAATCACAACCACGCTGGCGCTACTTTGCCAGAGAGGGGAAAGAGTTCTCTACGAAAGCGTAGAAGCGCCACATGATATATTTTTTTAATAATTGACAGATATAACTGTCAACTAGCCTAATTGACAGATACTAAGTCGTAAGTAGTATACTTGACAGATACTAAGTCGTAAGTAGTATACTTGACAGATACTAAGTCGTAAGTAGCATACTTGACAGATACTAAGTGGTAAGCAGTATACTTGACAGATACTAAGTCGTAAGTAGCATACTTGACAGATAAAGTGGTAAGCAGTATACTTGACAGATACTAAGTCGTAAGTAGCATACTTGACAGATACTAAGTGGTAAGTAGTATACTTGACAGATACTAAGTCGTAAGTAGCATACTTGACAGATACTAAGTGGTAAGTAGTATACTTGACAGATACTAAGTCGTAAGTAGCATACTTGACAGATACTAAGTGGTAAGTAGTATACTTGACAGATAGGCCAAGAAACTCGCCATCGCCAAAAAACAAAGAAGATTGAGAAGAAGAAGAATACAATGCCAACCTAACCAACAACAATGGATTAGGGAGACAAGATAGGATGAAAATCACTTCGGATTCGGAATCAGAGGACGTCCAATTTTTGCATGACAATGTTTAAATTTATATATTAAATAACAATTTGCTCAATTCCCAACAATTAACTTCAGAATCAAAATCTGCACCATGTACAGGGCCATTTCTGTACACAGGGAGTTTCTTAAGTACGTGTACAAAATTCAGGAGCATATGTTGCTGACGTTAAAATAAAAAGAAAAGTTTTTATAAACATATGTCCACAAGTTATTCGTTTCTGAGATACAGAGTGTCAAAGTTTCATTGTCATTCCGGTTTTTGGTAAATTCGAGTGAGATACCAAATTTATTCCCAAAAAACAGGAATAAGAATCCTTTGACACTCTGTATCTCAAT